AAGATTGTCCTGATATATTCTGAACATAGCTGGTGGTCCAATTTTACCTAGATGAGAAAGAAATGTTCCAAACTGGAGAAGCAGAAAGAATTCTGGTGGTTTTCATGCTGTCTGTCTTAAGGGCATTAAAATTATTATATAAACTTCTCAGGCTTCTAATTCTCTATCAAGGTAAGCTCAAATAAAGCAACATCTGCCAGTTAGCACCCAGAACGTCTATAAATGCTTGTGCAATGAGTTGATTTTTACATATTTGTCTTGTATGTATTCTCTACAGGAATGTATAGTTGAAATGTTAGAGTATGTTCTCTCCCCCAGCGAAGCTTAATCTACTCCAGCTGTCTAAGTAAGCAGAGTTTTAGAGTTTTGGATAAAGAGAGCTTTATGTAAACATTAACTCTAAGTTGGAACCAGAAGATGTGAGAAGCTCCAATACAACAGCTTCAATTCACCTCCAGACCCTGTCCTTTTGTTCATTTTTATATTTTGAGTTTATAATGTGAAGAAAACATTAAAATACAGGTTTGCATGCTCCAATAGAATCAATGTAGGGCTGTTGAAGGAGGGGGAAGGAAAAGACTATTCAAACACAGCAATCCCATATCTTGCAAGGAATCACAAATTGAAGGACTGCATTTATGAGATTCTGTAGGCCAACCAGCCCTAGGTTAGGTATCTGTGTTAGGTTCTAAGATAGAGAACATTCCTTCTATGCAATACTGTCCTTGGTGTTGTAGGGCAGTGGTATCAGACTCAAAATAGAAATGAGGCCACTGATCTATGCATGAGAAGGATCCTTGTGGGTTGCTATTAACTTAGAAAAGCAGCCTCGCTTCAGAGTGTAGAATGAATTTAGAGGTGTAGGGGTAAGGAGAGCCTGGAGTTTGGCTGACCGACTAAAGGTTACTGCAGTAATCAGGGTGCTGGTTAGTAGGTATAGACCTGTTTAGTGGCTGTGGTGATGAAAGGGAAAATCTGAGAGATATATGGATAAAAGAAACAACTGCATTTGACAGGAGATTGGGTATAGGGGATAGAGAATAGAAAAGAATCTGGTTCCTAATCTGGAAGACTAGAAGAAAGGGGACAACAAATGGCAAACACAGAGTGCCTGAAATGGTTGACCCTGAGGAGGCATCTTCCCTGTAAATGAATTTAAAAAATATTAAGCTATCATCCAAATGTTGGGCACCTTAGTCCTTCAAAAATCTAATTCTAGCCATGATAGTGCTATCTCCCAAAGATAAACCTTTCTGTAATGTTAAAGGTCGTTATTATTAATTCTTCCATCCCTTCAAAACTCTACCTTTTCAGTTCACTGGTTGGGGGACTAAATCAGAAAAGCAGTTTGATTATTCATTCAGTTAAGTGATAACACAACAATGTTCTAGAAATAAGGAAAAGCCTATGATGGTGGTGGCAGCTGCAACTTTCCCATTTTTGCAACTTTATTAATTTTTAAATGCTACTTTGTCTATGGCTCTGTCATGATGTAAACAGTAGACAGGCAAAGACAAAAACAAAACTTCCCCAGAGTCAGAATCTTCAACTTCCATCATGCCAAGGAATTGGACAGGTGGTGAAGAAAACTGTAATTTGGTTGAATTGAGGGAGGGAAGATTTAGGCACTGAAACTTCTTAAAATCTGTTTCTTCTTGTTGTGTGGTTTAAAATGGGAAAAAACAGTTTCAGAAGAAACATTACTGAGCATGAAGATAGAACACGGCCTGGCTGAAACTGTAATCTCAATAATGAACGACCATTCTTAGTCGAGAGAAACATGATGGTGCTAAGAGGAAACCTGAAAGAAGGCCCAAGAGCTAGTGCTGGCAACGGCATCTGCCAACACCTAGCCCACAAGGGCATTTTCATTATGAATCTCTGGCTTCATTCACTTGTAACTTTCTTTAAAAAATCTTCTTGGGTTGAAAATTCCCATGCTTGATCTTGTTCCAAAGGTTATTTTCCCCTGCCTAGGAAAGTCTGAATTAAATACACCCAGGTATATATGAGTTGCAGGCCTGGAAAAAAATACCATTTCCCCCTTTCAATTGACAAGTGGTTTCAAGTGCAAATAACTCAAAAAACAACAAATATTAACATGCTTTGCTGTGACTATTCCTTCTTTAACAGGCTTTAGTTTTTTGCAAGATTTGAAGAAATTCTCTTCAAAAGAGAATGACCTTTAATACTGATTGTCCATGTGCACCAGTATTTTCAGTAAGTCTTTAGTTACATTTTCACTAAGTACCTATTAGCAATAAAGAAAAAAAAAGCTATACATATTTTCCTTTGGATGTCCATCAATTGGGGAATGGCTAGTTGTGGTTATATGAATGTGATGGAATACTAGTGTGCTATAAGAAATGATGAAAGGAATGGTTTCAGAAAAACCTGGGAATTCTCATTTGAACTAGTACAGAGGGAAGTGAGCAAAATCAAGAGAGTAATTTTATACAGTAACAACAACACCATCAGGACAATCAACTCTGAAAGCTGTAGGAACTTCAATGACAAAAGATTCCATGTATCTATCTCCAGATAAAGAAGTGATGGACTCAGTGCAGTCTGAAGCAAATTCTTTTCCTTCTTTCTTTCTATTTTTGGGACATGGTTAATGTGAGAATTTGTTTTGTATGGCTATATATAGTTGTAGTGGGCTTTTTTTTTTTTTCTTTTAAACAGTTTTACAAGAAACATTACTGAGCATGGATTTCACCTCAATAGGGGAAGGGGGAGGAAGATGGAGAGTGAGAGATTTTGGAAATAAAATAAAACTTTAAAAAGTAATTCTTTTTAATTGAGGGGAAACAAGTGAAAACATTATTTTCATTTTTTCCCTCTCTCTAAAGGAATAAATTTATTATAACATCATACAGATACACTAAAATAGAACTCTGAGAACAGTGTAGTTTTCATATAAAGCAAATGAAGTGAATGAACGAGTGAAAAAGCTTTTATTAAGTGCTTACTATATGCCAGACACTGGCTAAGTGGTACATACAGAAATACTAAAGAGAGATGATCCTCGCCCTCAAGGAATTTACATTCCAATAGGTGGAGATAATTTAAATAGGCGAGAGGTGGTGAGGGAAGAGTGTTTTAATTTAGGAAGCAAATGGTTTCTAGAAGCAATGTTAGTATCAGTTTGAGTACTGTCCCAGAGTAGAGAATGGAAAGGTAGGTAAATAAATTGAGCTGCAGTGCAAAAGCACCAAGGTGGGCTGAAGCATGGTTTGGTGAGTGGGGCAGGCTAGTCATTGTGAGCTTTCACCAATTAGGACAAGGAGGACGATGAGCTAGATTGTTAAATATATATATATTATTTGGTAATATGTACATTATAGGGAAGTGAGTAAAACCATTAAAACACTGAGATTACATTTTTTGACTTGTGGATTTTTATCTGTAGTTTCCAATATTATATAACAAGAGGGTTCTTTTTGTATGTTTATTTTTTAACCTTTAAAGCACCATTTTCTTAACAAAAGTTAAAAACTAAATGGGAAAATACTTATTAATTAGGAAAAATGGCCAGCTCCAATATGTCAATGTGTATGGGAACCTCCTAAAGCTTTAGCAAATTTATAATGTGACAGCTGTCTTTAAATATCTGAAAGGCTGTCATGTGAAAGAGGTTGGTTTTGTTTGGCCTCAAAGAGCAGAACCAGGAGCAGAGGGTACAAGGTACAAAGAGATAAACTTAAACTTGATATAAGGAAAAATTTCCTAACAATTAATGCTATCCAAAAGAGAAAAGGGTTGCTTTAGGAAACAGTAGGCTTCTTCTCATGGAAGGCCTCAAAGCCAAAGCAGGATGATCACACATTAGGTATGTGTGGAGGGTATTCTCATTCAGGCATGAGCTGGCCTACGTCACCTGAGTTCCCTTCAAACACTGAGGTTCTGTGGATAATAGCCTGTGCCTAACTCTGAAGGCAGAATGCTTGCAATCACAGCTTAAACACAACCCCACCTCCCAGCTCCTTATCTGTCCCTGGCTTTAGAACGCACTCCCTTTCCTGCCCCATCTCTGCTTTCTCTCTCTACCTTGTAATATCTATCTGCCTCAGACCCCACTTATTCCCTCTGTCTCTTCACAGCGTCCTTTTCATTCTGATTTTGCTAATAAAAGCCTTTATGTTTGCTCCCCAGTGTTGTCACCTCTCTGCCTGCTCCCTTTTTCATGTGTGTTCAATCTCCCCTTCCAGCTACGCCTTCAATTTAATTCAGCTGGCATCTCGTAAATTGCTTACTTTGTGCAAGGCATTATGATAGGCTCCAGTGATACAAAGACAAAGTAGTCCCTTCTCTCAAGAAAGCTTCTTTTTCCGATTTTAAGACACAGAAGAAGAGCAACATCAGATTTTTCTAGATAAATGTTGGCAGAGAAGGCCATCTGGTACACCTACAGAAGCTAAGTGGACAAAATGCTGGACCTAAAGTCAAGAAGACAAGTTTAAATCTTGCCTCAAACACTTACTAATTATGTGCCTCTGCACAAGTCACTTAACCTCTCAGCCTCAGTTTTTTTCATCTGTAAAATGGAAATAACAATTGCACCTACCTTACAGGGTGGCTGTGAGAATGAATGAGATAATATATTAGCTATTACTGCTGTGCAGAAAAGCCAACATTTCAAAAGGCTGTGAGACCTCTACTAAGAACTTACTTTATGGAGTAATGTACCTAGGAAGACTGTTTTGGGGTTTTGCGATCTGTCTTATAAATGTTAAGTCTCCAGCAGTTCAGATTTTCCTTAAGTGGTCAGTGTAACAAGCAGTCCTCATATTCATAACACCCGTAAATGGCATTGTTTCTTTTCCTTTGTAGACCACACGGGACTGCTTTATAGACAGAGTCAAAGTGACATCTGTTCCATAGCTAGTGCAACAAAGCTTGAATCTATGTAATGCATCTACAGGCTGCTCCCCATTGGGTCAATATAAACAGCCATGATACTTTAATAAGTTTTCATGGTGGTCCAGCTATAAACTGACCTGCTCCTGGGTCATCTTCTGCAGCTCACTTTCCCAAGCTGCCCGATCATCGTCCAGGTGATAGGAGGCAGGTGGAGTTAGTCCTTGAAGAATCAGGGGATCTCTGTCATGGCAGAGAGAAGTCAGATGTCCAATGTACAACTTCAATTTGCTGCGGTTCTGGTCAAGTTCTAAGAGGGGCTGGATTATCTGAGGTGAAAAAATAGGGACCATCAGGGACAATCTGACTGGGAAAATTCAAACAACTTTTGTAATTTCTTTTCTAATATGCCTCAATCAAAAGCAGAAATGTAAATAAAACTGTCCAAACCCGAGCCCTTCTAATCACAATTAATTTCACATAATTATTAAAACAACACATTTTGCCATTTCTACCACTCTGAAAGAAGACAGGAGAGATTGCTGAGCTTTTCATCAACACAAGAAGCAAAAAACTGCATTTAGATAAAGGATTAACAAAAACCCCAAACCCAGGGGTTGGTAATCAGAGATGACATTCCTAAACCTCCTGCTACTTTACAGCCCAATCTAAACAGTAATCCTGTTTTAATAGGTTCTTATGAAATTAGTTTCAATAAAGGCTAGTGGAAATTTCTCACTTGAAACACAGGACTACAATTCATATGGCTCTTTTACCTTCTACAACCACTCTACAGAAAATATCTTTTATCTAAATACAATGAGTGAAATGAGTTTGTTACCAAATTAATCCTTGAATTCCCCATATAGGCCTTTTGAAATGTCAGTTAATAAATTCTCATATAGGATGAGATACCTGACTCCGGCCAGGACTCTCTGTACTATTCCAAGTTCTATGAATTATTCTATGCCTATCTAGACTAGGTACTATTCCTCTGATTTCCTTCCCAGGAAAACACACTGGTTATTTCTGATTTAGGATCTCATTTTATAGTTATTCCTTACATTTTTAGCTATACCCAAGGCAGTAAAACAAAGTGTGATGTTTAAGAAGGAGGTTTAGATACATTTCACATCTCAGATCAGCATTAGAAAAGCACCTGCCCGATACACAATGGTTGATTGTACAGCCTTACCAAAATGCTGGCAATACTCAAAATGTTCTCAAGGCCTGTAAGGGCTGACTTTTCCACCTGCCGCACATTAGCAGGCTGGCATGTTTCATCAGCAATACACCTCTGACCCTACTAATGAATGAAGTGCCTGATAATTTCTTAGAAATAGGGCTTGCTATTTTCATAGATGATATTAAATTCTTCCCTTCATCCCCCAATAATTCTGCACCTTTCCTTTTTTCCTGACAGTATTTCAATAGATTAACTATTATGAAGTGAGAAGAAAAGGCACCACTAAGTGGCTGTCTAAAATAATTCTTTCCCTATTAAAGACTAGAATACATCCATATATAATATAATAAATTGTGAAAACTCTAAGAGACATCTGATATTACAAAACTAGAGAGCATAGAAGATTGGTTTATATCCAGTAGATAGATACACAGAAACTAATGAAACCCCATTATCATTATTTTGATTATTAAATTGTTAAATAAAAAATAGCATTATGATAAAAGTTATAACACATAGTACCCTATTGAAGGGGCATATATGGCACTGTATGACAGCCTAATTAGTAGACTAATGGGACCAGCTCTCTGCTGGAATTTCCTGTAAGTTATAGGTATATATATATACTGCCCATCAATCTTGGAAGGCAAGTACTGTTTTAATTAAGCATGAGACTCTCAGCAGGTAGGAAAAAGCCTTAGAGACAAGTTAAAGGGCATCCCACTGGCAATATCCATTTAAGTGCATTTACACTATGTTCTTTTGATTACACATCTTTTTAGATTTCACCTTCACAGATGCGTTTTTAGGAGTCCCATTCCTCACAATGCAGGACACAACATAGTTCCATTTTATTTTCTGATTTCCTTTAGTCAAGCCTCTTCTACTCCTTTGCCCAAACTGTCCACAAAACAATCATTTCTGGTATTCCCAGTGGATCTGAACAACTTACCTCCCTTTTCAATGTTCAGAGTCCCAAAGGCCAGATTAATTCAGGTAAAGATTTTCAAAGTCAGATTGTCACATCTGTGCTGCATGGTTCAAAGATATGAATTTTCACCCAAGAAATGTCTTCTATATTTACTTCTCTTGTGTTTTGAGCTTGAAAATGGGCTTTAAAAGTGTGGCCATTTTGTAGGATTAAAAAATGTGGCAGATAGTAGTAATGAAAGGTTCAGATTTCTTATAATAAAATGGAATTTGAAGGGCTACTAGTCCACTAATGTAAGACCAGAAGGTTATTAATAAATCTTTCGGTTCCAATTTTCAGTCATGGGTAAGTTTATCTCAAATTGATTTAAATGTATCACTTGGGCTTGAATCCTAACTGATCAAAATAAAACAGTACTTGCTGTTTGAGTAAAAATGCTACTGAGCAATTTAAGAATGGAATTTGATTTTGTATCTTCTAGGACAAGAATCCATTCTATCCAGTGGCTATTTTGTTTCTCCTCTGCTTATCTATCAAAGAGTATTTGTTGCTTCTACCTAAGGTGATTACTGAAAGTATGTGAAACTGTTCAATGAGTAACACTTCCACAGAAAATCATAAAGCCAACACCCCAAAACCAGGGTGTCTAGGACACCCTGAGAGTCAAGTAGAAAATAACATTATGCAATTCAGTTCTGCTAGCATTTATTTAGCATCTACTGTATATAAAGGACTATGCTGCATGCTGGAGATATAAAAAAAAAAAAAGAAAAACAAAAAGTCCATGTTCTCACTGAGTTAACTGAGAGATACAACATGTACAACAATTAGGTGAATAATTTGAGGAGAAAAAGTACACCAACAACTAGATATATCATGAAAGGTTTTCCATAAGAGGTGACACATAAACTTTGCCTTGAAAGAAGGTAGGTATTGTAAGAGATGGATATAAGAAGTATATTCCAGGCACTGCAGGCTATGAGGTGGGAGAGAGGGCCTAGCAGGTCAGTTTGGCTAGAACGTAAAGTAAGCAACAGGGAAAAAATATGAAATGTATGGAAAGGTAGGTTGCAGCCAGATTGTGAAGGCTTTACATGCCAAGGTACAGGGTTTGTACTTCTTCTCTAAAGGCAATAGGGAGTCCTTGAAGATCTGACAGGAAAGGTGGCATGTGTGACATGATAAGAGACTTGTGCTTGAGGAAGAAAATCTTGACAGTTGGCTGAGGATGGTTTGGAGAGAGCAGAAATAAGAGAAAAGGAGATCAATGAGAAGGCCTTTATAACAATCCAGGCAAGAGGTGATGAGGGCATGAACCTGAGTGGGAGAAAAGGATGAAGTGAAAGCGTAACTGTCAATATCCTCTCTCTCTCCTGCTCTTTTCCTATCTAACATGGACTGGCCATTTAGTAAAGACAACGCCTTATACATACCCTAAAACTGCTACTGCATAATCTCAAGGGTGTGCAAGAGAATTGGTTTGACAGAATGACAGTGTCCTTGAATCCAAAAGTGATACATATTATACGAACCTTGGCAATTATCATCAGACTCAGCTGCATGAACACATTAGCTACATGGTTTCCCCTGATGCTACAAAGCCACAGGAAATTTAACAGAATCACATAGTTGGAAGGGAATTCAGAGGACATCTAGTCTAACATACATCTGAACATGAAGCCCTTCTACAATATGCCCAACACATAGTCACCAAGCCTTTGCTTGAAGATCTCTAGTAAGAGGGAATACACTGCTTCTGGGGCAGACCACTACTTCTGGATAGATCTCATTGTTAGGAAGTTTTTCCTTACATCGTGATAGTAAACCAATCACCTCCCTTGTTCTGAACATTATACCTTTCTTAATGCTATCTAAGATTGCAATAGCTTTTCTGGCTGCCACATATTCCTACTCTAATGCCACATACTAAAGTACAAATGACCCTAGGTTCTTGAAGGCAAAAGTTCTGGCTAATTCTTCCAAGACAGAAAAGTTTAAAGTGTAGTTAAGAAATAGACCATGCCTGCTGCATGAGGACCAATTTAGCTACATATAGACAGACACATGGCTTAGCTATGAGTTAACAAATTCTTTGTCCACAGAAGTCCGTGAAACAACTAAAATTTTTTAAAAATGGAACTCGGTCCTGCATAACCAACTTCCGTTTTTATGGTGAAGATGGTAAAGTGATAAAAATGGGCAATAGACAAGCTCTAAGATCAAGCAATCTACTACTAAGCATTTACTGAGTACCTATTATTTGTCAGGTGCTAAAAGGAATGACCCCATTACATGATTTCATTTGATCCTCACAACAAACCTGTGAGGTAGGCACTATTATGCCCATTTTACAGATGAGGAAATGGAGGCTGAAAAAGGTTAAGTAACTTGCCCAGGGTCAGACAGCTGGTACAATGTCTCGTGGCAGGATTCAAGCACAGGAAATTATTTAAGGATAAAACTGAAAGAAAACAGAGATAAAAACTAAAAGGTTCTGTGAATATTTCTATAGCAAACTCTTGATTAGTGAGAGTGGAGCTATCATATTTTGACATCACAGACCCTGATATGCTGCATAAGGAAATAGAAATGGCACAAAAGAAAATAATATATTAAATCTTAGATACCAGACTTTCATCAGAGATAAAATATTTGATGCAAAAATTTCTTTCCTCATTTTACTGTTTCTCCTCTTATTTTAGCTGCATGTACTTTGCTTGGACAAAAGCTTTTGAATTTTACATAAGCACTACTTTGTCTTCTTTTATGTTTCTTTTCCAGAGAATAAACTGTTTTGTAGAATTTCTCCATTACATCTTCCAAATTCTCTACCTTTCTTGTTGTCTACTCTGAGTACAAAATGAAAAGTCTCAGCATTTCTAATATGAAAAATATCCCAGAGGCTAGATGGCATCACTGTTGAGGAAGACCCAGGACAATGTTTAGCACCTAAAAGTTACTTAAAAGAAAAAATGATTTGAGGAAAATTAATATTATGCTGTATCATTTAATAATCAGTATTACTCTGTATCTTCTCTATTTCCCATCTTTTCAAACCCCACTTCTCAGTTTGGCTCAAAATACAGTCTCTCCTTGTCCAAACTAAAGGAGTGGTTGAATAATGTGATTACTCCTACCTCCTCTGAGCATTTGCTAGCTAACCAGTTGAAAATGGTACCATAGCTTTGTTTACTTGTAAACTAAGAACCAGC